GTTGTCTGTTTTCTAGTAGGTTCTTTATGGTGTGTAGTAGATATGGTGGTGTGTGAAGTTTGTATAGTTTATATAGTAAGCCCCTATGCCAGACATTTCAATTATTTCAATACACCTTGAAGAGTTTAATTGTTTACAATTGAAGAGCCTGCCTAACTTTATTGTTATACTATTTTATTGTTATTGATTATTATGTTTGCTTTATCCATGAAATAAAATATAACTACATTTTATCTGACAACAAATAATATTCAAATGATTTGATTTGACCACCCAATTTAGTAGATGCACCCTTGAATGGAATTTGGTTATTGTTTTCATCATTAATAAATTGTATATAAATTAATTTGGGTGGACCTTTAGAACCGGGCTCACGTCCGTTAATTCTTATTGCTGTATAGTTTTACCTTCAACATTTTTTTGAAGTTGTATATGGAAAATGAAACCAGATCATATATTTGTAAGTAAAATAAACATGTTTTTTTGTTCTGTATTTGTGTCGCTATTATAAACTTCTTATTGTGCTCATAAATGCGATCAACTAGATCCATCTCATCCGTGAGTTCATACATTCTACCCAATTCAAATTTAAACGATTCTACTACAAGTTGAAGCTCAAGAACCCTTGTCACTACATAGCAATCACTTAATTCATATAGTATTAAACAGTTGATGAACAAAGTACGATAATCCGAAGGGAACACTAGACACATACCTGAACAATAATCCCTAAGATATTCGGGGCTGGAAAACTTTATTAATTGTCAGATGATATTTGAGACTATGGCTAAGTAATACGTTAAGCGGTTTCGAGCATAAATCGTCAAATTTGAAACGCAACAGACAAGTAAAACAGAACCATATAAAAATGTTGTTTTTCTGATGGACGCAAATCAGTAAAAGGCAAAACTTTTTTAAGCTGATAATAGCTGGACAATTGGAAAGCTGTATCTTCAAGAAAACTTGTTGCAGCGACAACGTATCTATCGCAAAAGCCATGCTGAGGTGATTTTTTTGTGCATAAATAATATTCATTTTTTCAAAAGCTCTCAAACTGGTGAATTTTTGTGGTTTCTGCGTCCTGCCAACGACCTCTGAAGATGCAAGCCACACTTGCTTGCGAAACGTTAGGAGAAAATGTTATTCCACCACGAGTTAAACTCCCGAAAAACAGATCAGCGTCAACATTCGGTTTAATCAATAAAAAATGCAGCTAACATTTTTTCTATGTAATTTAGGCTTGATTTGCTTTTCATTTGAATTAAATTAAAATTCTGTGTTTAAACCATTTAGTTTAATTGAAAAGAGACACATTTTTTTAAGATGACGGAACTCGCCCATCGTCCAAATCCGTCTTATATCGATTTGAGGCATATTTGAATGTGGAAAATGTTATACGAAAAAGTGATAAAATGTGACTGACTCTCAATCAATTACTTATGCTTGACGAAATATAATAAGCGGATCAACTTCATCGTTATCCAAAAAATCAGGTTAAGTGAATGAATAAGAAGAGCCACAAATCATTCTCTGGACCGTAAAGGTCGTTTCGGAATTGGAAAAACCACGAGAAACACTAGTAAATAAAAAGTACAAAATAAAATTGGTAAAAATAACTATTAGACAATGCTCGTTTGGAGCGCATTCACAATGCATTAATTATAATTTCGACTAGTGTATTTAATATAATATTTTCGTAAAACACATTTATTCAACATTATCCAAAATTTAATAAAAATGAAATTAACATGCCCGCATTGGCTTTAGCTTAATGTATGGCTACAATTAGCTCATAATAAAATGTCTGTTTAAATTATGTGATGGAATTTCAAGAATGTCTGCCCATACAATCGATTCAATATTTTATACTCAACGTCAACTAACCCAATCTTTACGTAAAATCGACAATTTCCAAAGGCCGTAACGCGAAATACAATTATGTTGAAGCATTAACTCTCGATCTATGTGAATTCGTAGATCAATGGGACCATAAATTAACGCATGTGGACATGTCTAAGTACTCAATTCAATGTTCAGGTTCATTATTTATTTCATTTTGCTTCTAATTTATTATCAGTGGCGAAAATGGGATTTTCTTAATCCAAAAACATTTCTTATTATATTGATTTGGGCTGTGCGAATGGCTTTATTTACTCTGGAAAATATGGTTCAAGGCTTGAAAAGAAATGGATTATTAAAGCACAAAAAGCTATTATAAGTGTAGGAATACAAAATATAAAACGCATTTACAAAACCTTGATTTTGATTATCGAATAATATTATTTAATGAACTTGATGGAGCAGAAGAGAAGACCCATAAACGACAATTTGAGAACCAAATAACAAGAAAGTCAATAAGCAAGAAAATTCATTGATGGAAAAATAGACATGTAGAAAATAATATATTTGATTATCTGCTGAAATAAACCCAGTACATACATAAGTAGATCGGAATGCTCTTCGTGTATGTTGAATAATTGCTTATTCAAATAAGGCAAAACATGTAACTCATCTTCAGTTTCATTAGTCCCAGTTAGCTAATTGAGAAAAAAATTTGTAAATAAGTTAGACATTTTTTACGATCGTGACCTAGTGTGACGGACCGATCTTTTACCTTTCTGGGTGATTTGCATTGAACTCGTTTAGTTTTGTTCTAATCTACATCTAATTGTATTGAGATTAAATGTTATAAAATCAAATTTAAATGGAATGAGTGGAAA